TTGACTGCTATATTGTGAAGGCTTCTTCCTATGTATAAACCTAAAGGAGTATAATTTTGTAGAGATGAGAGTTTCCAGGACAAGTGGAAAAGGAGGTTTTTATTCAAATTATTTATTCAAATGAGGACTTCACTACAAATTTTATATTCCAGTTGGAATTACCTAAAGGTATAGATCCTAGTATGTACAAAATGCTATTGAATATAACACACTTGATGAAGAGAGCTGCAGCTTACAAAAGCTTATTCCTTTTTAATAAAATTTGTTAGTCAGAAAAGGTGCTCATAATATTTTGTTATTATGTTTTGCTAATATGGCTTTCTACTTACAACGACTAGTGGCCTAAATTTTTAGTACCACATAGTTATTATAGCTGCAAGTATTAGTTATTTTTTGGTTTAGTTTTAAAAGAAAATAGTTTTAGAGGCTATTTTCAGTGTATTAAGGACTGAGGAAACATTTCTTTTGTTAGCTATTGAAACTTGACGAAGTGATACTCTTGTGTACAGATGTACTCTTCAAAAATGCCCACAAGCTTCAATTAAAGTAAAAGGCCTTTTAGAAGGTGGGAAAGGAGCAGGAACTTATACACTCACAAAAGGTTTCTTCTTTAGACTGAAGGGATATTTATTGTTACAGTCTTTTCAAGTAAATAATCTATACTTATTTCTAAGCCTAAGGTTATCAAAGTATTATACATTTATATACCGAGATTTTTATGGATCATCTTGCTTGTTCCCTTATTCACAAAGATTTTTCTTATCACTCCTTTGGTTATAGTTTTAGTTTCAGGTTTGCTTTTAAATGAGCTTTTTGGAAATCCAGCACTTTGGTCAAGCTTTTCTCTGTTGACTTCTGTCTGTTACAAATAGAATCTTGGTTATTTTTACAAAATTAGTCTGCTTTACAGGACTTTCTTTCCAGTTCTGCTTGCTTCTCTTGGATCCCTTGTTACAGATCCTTCCTTCACTCAGGAATCCTCTCTTCATCTACTTTCCTTCAGTGGCTCCAGTCTTTACTTCTTGATACACAAAAGCACAAACATACCAATTTCTGATATATTTGATATTCTTTCCCAAAAGAAGCTTGCATGCTCACCTGTTATCTTAACTAAGCAAAACATTTCTCAGCATCTAAGTATCTATTTGCATAGAAGAGAAAATCCTAATCTCGGGACCAAATTACAGTTCTGTGTCCATCAGGGCAACTCACTTTGCCACAATGCCATAGCTGATCTCTTCACTGGTATATAACATCTGGATCATATTACACTTGCATTGTAAAATCTTCATTGGTTGCCAAGAATTCAACTGTTGCTCAAGGTTTTGACATTAACCTTTAAAGCTCTCATAAAGCATAGGGCTTATAGAAGCAATTGCCTATCTCAGTATGAAGCTGGGCAATGGACATTAGCTTCAAAACAGGCCTTCTTAAAGATGCCCATACTTTGGGAGGTTAATCTGTTGAACGTACAGAAGAGACTGTATTGTGCATTGGAATTCCAATGCTATGGAATTAAGACCTGGACTTACAATAATTTCTGTTTTTATTACTTTTTAATTATTGATATTTTATTTTATACTGGCATTGTAATGGAATGTATGGGTGATCTTGAGGAACAAGAGGGAGAGATGCTGTCTAGGAAACAAAAGAAGGAATTCCCAAGGACTAAACTAGGGGGGCGAGACAATATTCTAGGGGACGCAAAAATTTGGGTTTTCAAAATTATAGCGTATATGCATAATTCGTTGCCATTATTTCAAACTTTTGTAAGGGGTGTGAGAATATATTACAAGCGTTCTAGGGATGTGGGATATAGAAAAAGTTGGGAGCTGCTGTGTTAGAGAAAGAAACTTAGGATGGACTTGCTCTAATTGTGATCAGATGGTTAAAAGTGGTGGTGGGAAGTTTGTGCCTTTAGGCTTGTAAGATTCTGTTAATGTAGCCTTGTAGTAAAGTATATTTAGCTAGTCTAGTGGGTTTCCTGTCTAGTTTACCTAGGAAGGCTGACATTTATCCATCCTGAGTGGATAAAGGATGGATAAGATTGGAAATCTCCTGTCACAACACTATCTTTTCAGTGGAAGTTTAGGGATGCTTCAAAAAAGCTGGGTGCCATTAAGTGAAGCTCAGTTCCTGGTAACTTATTAATTGATTAAGGCATGCTATTTTCCCCAGTCTTAGCAATATCTAATAGTTCTTTCCAAACCAGCGTGTAGTTTCTTCAATCCCATCAATGAATCATATTCTATCCTTTAATGAAACCTTCTATCAATCTTGCCAAGCAAAATAGTCATCACTTACCTTCTTGCATCACATATCCAACAAAAAAATTTATTTGCCGATTCTTATGGAAACTATTTATTAATTGGTCAAAGATGATTGGACATTCACATCTAGAATTGTAATTGCATATTTCTAATTTGCTCTTACTCAATCTAGGGTTTTCAACTATTCATATCAATGGAAAAACCATTACTTCATCTGTACTGATACTTGTCTTAATTTTCATCTTTCATTCTTTGATTCTAAGTTTGTCACAGCCTTCCTCTGTGTAATTATTTCTTTTTACTTCTCCAAAACGTTGTTTATCTTTAATTATTCTTTTTTTTTTATTAAAAGTTTTATAAATTTTACAAAAAAGAAAAAAACAAAACAATACAAAGACAAAAAACATATACAAAGAAAAAACTAAACATTACACAACAAACCCTCCCTTCCCCAACCTCCCCCAAGCACCCACCCTTCCCCCCCCCAGCTTCCCAGAGCAGAATATAGGCTTAATTAAAAAAACAATTAGAAAAATTATATTTTAATATATATATATATATATATATATATATATATATATATATATATATAAAAATTAAGAAAAAGCTATATAATATTTTTTAATATCCATTTTAAACTGTATAAATTTTATCCATTTATCCCAAACAGCAAGAAATTTCTCTTGCGTTTGTTGCTTTAAAAAAGCCGAAATCTTTGCCATTTCCGCCAAATTAGACACTTTAAAAAACCATTCCTGCAGTGTAGGCAAAGATTCCTTCTTCCAATATTGTCCAACTAACAGCCTCGCGGCTGTAATCAAATTTAACATCAATATAACCTCCTTTGTATCACAATCAGTAACTATACCCAACAAAAATAATTGCGGAGTAAATTTTACCCTCCTTTTAAAAATTCTCTGGATATTCCACCATATCTTAATCCAAAATGCTTTTATCTCTCTGCATGACCACCAAATATAGTAATAAGTAGCATCCGTACACCTGCATCTCCAACATTTAGGTTGTAGGTCAGGGTACATAAAAGACATTTTTTGTGGATCAAGGTGCCATCTATAAAACATTTTATAGAAATTCTCCCTTAAATTCTGTGCTTGTGTAAATTTGACATTTCTAACCCAAATAGTTTCCCAGGTGTCCAATGGAACTGGCTCACCAAAATTCTGCGCCCATCTGATCATACAATCTTTAATTAGTTCCGTTTCTGAATCCAATTCAACTAAAACCCCATAAATTCTCTTAATGTGGGTTTGTCTTTGATCCTTCACTTGCTTAATAAAATTTTCATCTTCTCTAAGAAAACCCACCTTACAATCCACCTTCCATCTATCTGCTAGTTGCCTGTATTGGAACCAAGAGTAAATAATATTTTCTTGTGTTAACTCTTCCCGTGATTTTAACTGCCAGTTTTGTCCATCCCACCTAAGTAACTGTCTATAAGACACCATGTCCATTTTAGCACCTCTTTTTATTCCTTCTATCGCATGCCAAGGTATAGCCCATAATGATACTTTAAAATCACTTTTATAATATTTTCTCCAAGTCCTAAGTAAAGAAATTCTTAAAATATGAGATTTAAAAACCCAGTCCATCTTTTTATTAATATCTTTAATTATTCTTGATTGAGAAAACAAACTCTGTACTACCCTCATTTCTTTGCAGTCAGCTAAGTATGTTGATTCACATTGTCTTTGCTTAAAATTTAACTAGTTCAAAAATGCTTAATATTTTTGCATTAATTCTGAATTCTGTCATCTTTATATTCAACTAATAAAGTGGTGGTTTCTGCATAACTCAGATTATTCATGTTTCTGCCTTCACTCCTGATTTCAGATGTTGCCTCTTCCAGTCCCCCCATTTTCATTTATCTATCTATCTGTCATGGTTCCGACAGACAGAGACAAATAAAGCAGAACTCTGAGGCTTGCAAGTTCCTCAAAAGAACATGTTTATTGATACAAAGTATCGGCACATCAAAAGTGAAACCAAGTCTCAATAGACATGTAACAACCCCCAATACAAAGTTAAGAAATCCCACCCCTAAAGCTATGCAAGCTACTACGTTCTCCAATACATCTTCTTGGCGAGTTTTTCACGAAATGCCCAGCCTGCAGTTCCGGGAGCAGCCGATGACCTTGATTCCCACGGGAGAAAATCTGTTTAGCCTAGCGACACACCTGGTAAAACCCCCTCCCTCCATGCTATGTGGCAACCAAAAATGAGTAGGGAAAATGCTGCAGCCATGCTCATTTTTAAAGTTGACATCTATCTCTATATCTCTAAATCTATATATTATAAATCTAAATCTATATATTATTTACCAAAAAGATCTCCAGCCCCAAAAATTGTCCTCTGTCTTCAGTGGAAAAAAAATTCTGCATAATTTTCCATGTATATGCATACATGCACCAATTGTATGATTTCTGGATGGATCAGTAAAACATTGTCAAAGGTTTAGCATCCTGTCCATAAAGACTTCATGTTTACTTGATGGTTCCCTACTGTACAGCCTTGGTTGCTTAAGACATGGGTAATATGCGTTTAATACTGCAGTTGCATGTTTGGGGGCCAAAAATGGATTACAGTAGTTGCACATGTTGTATTGTTTTATGCTAAACATGCATATTTTAAATACACTACTAATGATTCCAAGTAGTATAATCAAACAAGAAATATCTTTCATTTTTTTTAAATGATTGTTTTCCCCTTCAGGAATTTATCAGGAAACATTTTTTCAAGTCTGATGAATGGACTGTTCTCTGAGCTTCTCGCTTTGAAAGCCTTGTAAGTATGTCTTTGTTATGTAAAGTTTGCACAAATATTAGTATTGCCAGTGTTATTCTGAAAATAATACTCTGAAAATAATATGTGTGCTCTCCTAAATCTTGAAATAATTTCATACCTCTAAAATATTAAGGGAGCTGACAATAGTATTACAGTAATATTTTATGAATGTTTATTATTTGAACTTGCCTTTAAAAAATATTAAAGCATCATGGTTATTTTGTCTTAAATTTTATAGAAGTCTGAGTGGAAACAAAAAACAAACAAATTAATTCATTATAGTGTTTGCATAAAATATCTTAGATGCTCATTATAATTGTGATTATATTAAATGTACATATTACATTAAAATATTTATATTTTTCTCCTTGTTAGGATTTTATTAAACAATAAAAAAGAGTGATGAAAAATTAATTAGAGCAGACAGGCCAAATGGTATTTTTATAATTGCAAGTACCTGGAACTTAATACTTCTATTTTTGCTTAGAAATGGTTTTATTTGATTTTTTTTATCCTGCCTTTATTATTTCATAAATAACTCATGGCAGTGAACATACCTAGTACTCTTTCCTCCTCTTATTTTCCCCATAACAGCCCTGTGAAGTGGATTGGGCTGATAGATAGTGATTAGACCTTAAAGGCTAGACATCATGGCCAGGTGAACTTTAAAGGCTATGCCCAGTTTTCTCCAGCCAAACTGGTAATTTCAAATTTCCAAATTAAAAGCAAAACATATTTTTAAGAATTCTGAAGCAAATCTGCAGGCTGAATCATTAATGATGTAGGAGATGACCAGGCTGATCCTGAGGGAGGGGTCAAATGCATCATCAGTCATGAGTCCCTGCGTGACTGCAAGAGATATAAGTCCAGCCCACCTTGATTTCCTTATCTCCCGCTCATTTCCTTTGATCGCTAGTTGGTCAGATTCTTGTAGAGAGTTTAAGCTTGTTATAAATCTTTATATTCATTTGAACTGCCTGAATATTCTGATTTCCCCAGCACTTGACATTTGACTTGCAGTAATTATATATTATTAGTGAGATATGTGGGTTGTCCCATTAGCTACCTTTCAAACATACCTTTCAGTCAGTTGTGTTGGCTGGAAATTTCCTTATTTTTCAGTCAATACAGAAAAGATTATCACTGAGATTATGACAGTTGAAGTTCTACATATCTGATAAAAGGATTTTCCTGCAGTATGCTGATCCTTCAGTAGAAACTGCACATTTGGTGACATAAACTTCTGATGTAAACTGGATATGAAATATTGGTACACATCATTTGTCATACACTCCATTTGTGAAATCATAGGTTCATTAAACATGATGTATAAGGCATTATTCCTCATTGATAAGTGAAAGTAATGTCATTTAGAATAATCAAGTTAATAATTCCAAGTATCCATTTTATTCTGAATATCTAAATGCATTCTATTGATCAAGCATAAAGTGTAATAGTGTATCCATCAGCAGTTGAAAACTGCACACTGAATAGTAAATCACCATCTTGCTGTCTAACACTACAAACCAAAATCTGAATAGCCAGCAGTGTGACTAAATGGCAGCACTGTTTGTATAGGAAAACAGAAGCACAATATGTCTTGGGAAATTAATGATAACCAGAAATATATCAAGTGAGCAGGCCTTTTCCCATATGCACATATCATAAGCATTCATAGTGCAAACTATGCATATTGCTGGGAGAAATGTGTGTAATGTAACCTTGAGGGAACATAAAGTTACCCAAATGAAAAATACCACATTAACCAAAAGGAAAATGATTGTGAATGTAAAATGATTTTCCTTATCCCAAGGAAAATTACACAGAAAATAAATCTGTGCAATTCTTACCAGAAAATGTAAGATAACCCCTTTTCCATTTCATAGGTGATCATTAAGGAAAAAAGCACATTTTTGTTAAATAAATACAGTGTATTCAGTAGATGAAGGTGAAGGAGTCTGTGCAGATTTTATTCCGCTAGTCGTTGCCGACTATAGTGGCAGTGCTCATCTCCATTTCAAGAGCATTGAGACAGCGCTGTCTGAAGACATTTCTGTGGCCATGTGGCCAGCATGACATCATGGAATGCTACTGTATTTTCATTCCACTGGCGTGATACCTATTTATCTATTCTCATTTGCATGCTGGCAGGAGCTGGGGCAAGGATGGGAGCTCACCTCTTTGTGTGGTGCTCAGGCTTCACCTCTTTGTGTGGTGCTCAGGCCTCAAACCAACAGACAAGTGCAGTCTTAACCTCTGAACCATCACACCATATACATTAGATATGTGTATGTAAATGTATAGAACACACCCACACACCTACATACATAGCATATACATTTATACATATTTGAATATGGATGTTCCATATGATTTATGCTGTAACTATTGAAAGTGTGGATAGTGTTTCAGCCCCTCCCCCACTAGCAGTTAATCTGAGAGCAAGGCAGTTGCAACTTCTATATCTTAGTTGATATAATCAATTTGATATATGGTGTTTTATTTTAAAAAGGAAATGTTTGGGATTTGTTTTCAGACATTTCTATACTGATTCCCTCATTTGTGATTGTAATCTCAAATGGATCTTATACTGGGCTACAAATTCCTCAGTGCGGATATCAGAGGAAACTGTGTGTGCTTTTCCAAGGAGTTTACAAGGAACATCATTTCGCAATCTGAAAGAAAATCAGTTGATATGTGGTGAGTTATAGTTTTGTTTTTCAGCATCATAAATTGTAACAAAAATGTACTGAAAAAATGCTTCAGAAAGAAGAAATGTAGAGATCTATGAAAAAGCTGTTGGTAAATACTCATATACAGAAGCACACAGTCATATATCCATGCACAAAAACATGAACATATAAATATCATGCATATATTTGTAAAATATTGTAATATATAAACTTTCATGCATGTGTCCAGTGAAGAGATCACAGATAAGTAATTTTTTTAAAGAAAAGTTTGGGATCATAAAAACAAATTGGATGGAAAAGAGGTAAAATGAAATTATATATTTGAATACCTTGATATGTAATTCAAGTATAATCTGTCTCATTATTGTAAAGTCTAAAAGTGATATTTAAAGTATTTAAATATCTAGAAGTCTTATATATCCTTCACATACCTGACTTGGTATAAATCCATTTTTATCTAAAATAATTGCAATTATAAGTTAAGTCCTTACCCTGAGAATTAATGGCTTATCTTTGGAATCTGTACTAGTTGAACATTTTTTGAGGTATTTGCTATATAGTAAACAAAATATTGCATTAATTTCATTTTAAGGGCAGAAGAGATGGATTTTAGTCTCACAGGATATCAAACTCATGTATTAGTAAAATGAGAATAGGGATGGAAATTAATGGCTTATCTTTTAAAGATACCACGTAATGAAAAAAAATTATATTCTATGATTTCACTTTAATTCTGTTAATATTTGTCAAATTTCTAATGGTACCGGCAAATTTCAAGATGGCAAAGACATCATTTCATTTTTTCATTCACCTGATATTGAAGGGTTTCAGTGCCAGCTCTCAGTCTGGTATTTGGGAACTTCTATTCCAGGTGTCTGAGAAAAAAGTGGAAAAATAGTGGAACTGCATTTACTATAAGGAAGGAAGGAAGGAAGGAAGGAAGGAAGGAAGGAAGGAAGGAAGGAAGGAAGGAAGGAAGGAAGGAAGGAAGGAAAAGTCCTATTTCTGCTAGGTTTCAAACCAGCAACATTTAACTTACAACACCAGAGTTACAATGACTGTGCCTATGGCAACAATCAGGATGAAGAAAAGGTCATGAAGGTACATAGACCAATGATAAGCACTGGCTCAGTTGAAGGCGTTTTCCTTCCTCTATGAAGTTGATAATAAACTGTTAGGATTAGCCTGTAAAACAGTAAAGGGCTTCAGCCTAAATAGACAAAAATCCTTGAAGAAAAGACTGCACAAGGAAAATGCACAGGGAGATTATGTTACAAAGGAACAGAAGTGAGTAAAGACTGACATCTGCATTTGCTTTTAAAACATGTTTGCTGTCCCATTCTGGTAATGGGGCAATATAGGTAGGTCCTATGACTATGCTCTGCTTGACCTATTAGAGAAAAAAATAAAGGGCAAAGGGGAGAGTCAATTGCAGAGGAATATATAATATTTTCTTACAATTTCAAGGACAAATACTTAGAACAAGCAAAAGTCTTTATAAAATGTTTGGCAACCTGAGGTGGGGATCAAGCATGGTAGGAAAACATGCTTTTTAATCCTCCCAAAAGACTTTAGTGAAAATTTAAACTGAAGATTTTCAGTTTTCATCATTGATGAAAAGGATTTTTAGATGACATCAGACAATTTTTTTGGGGGGGAGGGACTACACATGTAAAGATTTCTCTCATTAGTCAAATTTCTTCTGGTGGAGAATGACTTTCTGTATCCTAGCAAGTTGTTGGTGTTATCTAGAAAGAATGTTATATGAGATTTATTTCCTCCCATTCAATTTATTCTACTGGTACATATTTTTTGCAGTGGTTTATTTCTCATGGCAAAGCTAAGAAAGTTCACAATAAATGGCTGAGGCCGTACAAAAGGGAAAGTGTAGAAGATGATGGATCAACCTGATACTTAGCTAATAATTTTCTGGCAGAGATATTTCATTTTCCACAACAGAGACAATGATTAGTTTAATAACATTATAGTACCCTTACATAATCATAATAACAGACATAATGTTACCCTTCCCTGCATCTAAACTCTAATGAAGTGGACGGCCATAACAAATTTAATGAATTAAATTAAATTGACCTGCTTTAACTATTGCCTATCAGGGATGGAGGCAGTCAACAAACCCTCTCCCAAAATAAAAACCAAGTATCATCTCTTTCTAGTGCCAATAAGAGATAATTTTTCGATTATCAAGGTAAAAATATTATAGGGAGTGCCAAAGCATTATCATGCCAGTTCTAATTCTAATCTTGATCTAATTCTAATTCTAATCTTGATCAGAAGTCCCTCTTGAATTTATTTTTTTTAAATAAAATATTCTTCACCCTTATCCCTTACCCGCCAATTAAAGGAGTTAATGATTCATAGTGCATTTTATTCACAGTATAAAAGCAAAGTTGTTTCCCAGAATGTATTCACATATAAACATATGACATGTTTATTAGTTTTTTATGAATTCTATGATTTTTTTTCACCTATTGCATTTAGATTATTTGGTACCTAGAAAGCTAGTCTGTTCCTTTAAAGTCAGACATTTAACATGCTTAAAGCATATGTTTGGCATGATAAACATCAAATAGCCTCTTTTAGACATTTTAAGACTGAATATGGAAGATATAGTAAGATAGACTCAAGATTCAGAAGGATCATGACATACTTGAACAATGGGGCCCTATGCAGCAATATGCAATTCAGTGGAGAGAACAGTAAGGTTTGAAACATGGGCAAGAAAATGGTATAAGATCTTCTGCTCAAGGAGAGGGTTGGAGTATAAGATCTGAAAGTTCTCTATCAATGCTGTTATTCTGTTATGTTCTTTCTTATTTGCACTAAAGCAAATAATAATATTAAATCAGAGACCTTTTTTGCTTTTATCTTGTTACTAAAAATGGAAATGAGTTTCTGAAGAATAGCGATGTATAGCCATATTTGGCTCAAAATCTGATAACATAGAACAAACATGCCCTAACAACATCTTTTTTTTTCTGTTCTGGCCTCATGACATTGCCTTCATTCTGTCTCCAGCCTGTGAGTGAAACATGATTCAGCTGTTCTAAGCTGTATTAATTTTAAGTTTTTCCCTTTTATCCCAACATTGCCCAAGCCTTAGGATGGATAAAATCTGGTCACTTTTGAAGCCTTAGGTGACTGCAGTATAGAGTAGGAATCAGGAATGGGAAAACACATTTCAGACCAGTCACTTTTCTGCTGATGTAAGAATAACTGGATAGTGTTAAAATTCAGCACTGGGGGAAGGTCCTAAGAACTATTTAACCATATATTTACACTTTCTGGTACAAAAGGACCGTTGCCATCATCATATTTGTCTTTATTGCTGCTATGTTTAACAATGTCTCACCAGCCAAGGAGCTACCCACCAAATATACTTAGAAGCACCATAGGTATGGGTCTCAATCGTGAATTTTTTTTTATTTACAATCAATAGAACCATCTGTTTGTTTGAGAATCTAAAACTTACTCCATACAAAAACAAAATCCTTGTGTGCTGCATGTGTGATAATTCAGACTTGGTACTCAGTATCTCTCTTTTTATCAAAACAAGAAGAAAAGGAAATACTCATACGGGTATTAAAATTACATATTTTACATACATATTAAAATTAGGCAGTTCATTCTTCATTGCCAACGATGGAGGTTATTTTAAGCTTAACTGCAATGTGTGTAGGCATAAATTTGTGATTTGGGGGATTACGCTGTTGGAGAAGGGAGATTTAGCTTTACCTTAGGCAGCAGAGCCTTCTTCTGTTGCCTCTCTTATGGAAGTATGACTTTTTAAAAGAGTTTACTATTAACAACTGAGACTATTTTAAAATCTTGTGGAATGGGCAAGAAAGCCTCCCTAGGCTGGGAAGTTAATGATTAAAAACAAGAACATTTCTCATATTGGTAGGCATATGCCATGGCCCCTTCTGGTTGCATTCTCAAGGAGGAGAGCAAATGAGATGAGGAGAACAGACCAGTGTAGTTCTGCAATTGAAAAATCAAATCTGAATGTAGACCAGAAGTTTATTTATTTAAAATCTGCTAGTCTGACATCTGATACTGATACCACAATCCTCAAGATGATGAGAATTGTACTGCCTCTGAGTGATACAAATAAAATGGCACAAAGCCACAAGTTTCAGGGATAAGTTCCCTCATTGTAAACCGGATGTTCTCTCTTCAAAGTTCATAAGCACTGGCTGAGTTTGGGTGGAATCCTTTCTTCTTTGACATAAAAGTAGAATGCAGTTTAGTGCTGGAAACAACATTGTTTATAGTTATAGCCTGTATCTATGTGCTTGCTCACCAGAATTTATGAAACTGATTCTTTTTTAAGCTGCAGACTTCCTCCTTTGAATTTATGGTATTTCCACTGTTAATCTGACCCTTGAACTGAACACTGACTATCCTCACTGTCTGTTTTTTTTTATTATCTTAATTTGTTAGATTTTTATCATTGTATCCCTCTCCTTGACAGGACTGAGTGGGAAATATGGTTTCTGGGATATGGTTCAGGACCTGGGAAAAGTATTTCAAGGGCTCTGGAATACAAGCAAGGCTTGTGGGTGAGATGGATAGATTAATTAGACTTGAGTTGATTTGGTCTGTGGATTGGAGGTATCCTGTCACTTAATATTTATGTTATTTATATTAACATATGTAATAGTTTAGGCTGCTCATAAAGTTTGCAAAAGTTCTGGCTGTGCTTTTAAAGAATATTATGACACCGGTAGAATAGAAATAGGGTAGAGTAGAGTAGAGTAGAGTAGAGTAGAGTAGAGTAGAGTAGAGTAGAGTAGAGTAGAGTAGAGTAGAACAGAATACTTTATTTGGCCAAGTATGATTAGACACATAAGGAATTTGTCTTTGGTGCAGAGGCTCTCAATGTACATGCAAAGCAACAGAGTAATAATAATCATAATATAATATCAATAAGAGTAGGTAGTAGAGAAGATGAAAAAGGCAATAATACTACAGCTATACAACATG